CTTAGTCCTCCCAGTAGCTGGGATTACAGGAACTGGCCAACACGCCCAGCTAATTTTTGTCTTTTTAGTAGAGTTGGGGTTTTACCATGTTGGCCAGGCTGGTCTCAAACTCCTGACCTCAGATGATCCGCCCGCCTAAGCCTCCCAACATGCTGGGATTACAGGTGTGAGCCACCGTGCCCGGCCCCAACTACATTTTAAAAGCCCTGGGAACAAAAAATAAAAAAAAATAAAAATAATAAACAAAAATTTAAAAAAAGCCCTGGGGGTGGGTGGGTTTCAGCTCCCTTGCTCTCTGCTGTATGCCCGGCTCCAGGGACTGTGCCTGGCACTCTTAGGTGCTCAAAAGAAGCACTTAATGAATGGATCTCTTTCCCCTAGCAACCCTGTGAAATTTCATCACACCTATTCTACAGGAGAGGAAGCTGAGGCTCAGGTCCTGACAGCGCAGAAACCACAGAGGTAATGAGTGTCAGGGCTAGAGCATGAATCATCGAGGCCTCAGAGGCTGTTGCTCTTTCTCCCAGTGAAGACAGTCTAGGGCTATGGGAGGAAAAGGTACTGATGTGAGTCAGAGACCAGCATCCCAGCTCAGAGCCTGGGACTCAGGTACCGGTAGAATGGAATGTTCCATCCTCCATCTGCTTATCTCCCCAATGGCCAATCAGGACCTGGGATTCTGGCCTGGCCCTGCTCCTCTAAGAACTAGGAGCCAGAGGCCAGCATTCCCCGAGTGGTCCGCCCAGCCTCAGCTCTACCCACCCATGAGGTTATTGCGAAGGTCAAATGTGTCAATCATGTGCAGGCTTTAGGGGAATAAGGGGTTATATCTGTCAGTCCCTTCCAGCCAGATTGGTTTTGTGGGACCAGGCACTGCTCTGCACGCCTCTGCTTTGCCCTGTTTCTAATTTGGTTAGAGACCTTGTGCTGAACACACTCGTCTTTGGATATTGGATCTTGTTTAGCCATTGCCCAGGACCCAAGCCTCACCCTGCTCACCCCCGCCCCACACAGGCCCTAATCCCATCATTGAGGCTATGGACAGGAGAGATTGAGAAAATATGTTTACCTCTTTTGGTGTATGCTTTTGAGATTTTTTAAGGTTTGGTATTGGACACTGAAGAATTTAGTTTCCTCTAAGTAATTCTCCCCCAAAGGAATGTTTAGGGAGTCGTGGGAAGGGGTTATATCTGCCTTCTGATGAAACATTGACTAATTCAACCGGGATGTGCGGAGTGGCTGGTGGGGTTCTAGACACTGAGGACATAGCAGGGGAAAGAACCGAAGTGTTTCCAGCAAAATCATGGAACTTACATTCTGCTTTGGGGGATGGGTAGAGGGAGATGGACAGTAAACAAACTGGTTTTATTATTATTATTTTGTAATGAGACAGTCTCGCTCTGTCGTCTAGGCTGGAGTGCAGTGGCATAATCTTGGCTCACTGCAACCTCCACCACCCGGGTTCAAGCGATTCTCATGCCTTGGCCTCCCAAGTAGCTGGGATTACAGGCTTGTACCACCACGCCTGGCTACGTATTATTATTATTAGTAGTAGTAATAGTAGAGACGGGTTTCACCATGTTGGCCAGACTGGTCTTGAACTCCTGACCTCAGGTGATCCGCCCGCCTCGGCCTGTCAGAATGCTGGGATTACAGGCGTGAGCCACTGTGCCCAGCCAACACACTGATTTTAATTTGTTTTACAAAAAGAGTAAAGCAGGGAAGTCATGCTATAGAAGATGAAGCAGTCAGGGAACCCCTGAAGGCGATCTTTGAGGGGGCTATCGGGTTACAGGGCAGAGCATCCAAGGTAGACCCAACAACTGCAAAGGTCTTGAGGTTGGAGTGTGGTTGACTTTTATAAGAAAAAGGTGCAAGAGAAGAATGGAGAGTGCTGGGGGAGAGTCCTGGATGAGATGAGGTCAGACAGGTGGTGGGGGCCATATCACTGTGAGCTTTTTAGAAATGCTGATGAGGGCTGGGTGCCCTGGCTCACACCTGTAATCCCCACACTTCGGGAGACCAAGACGGGTGAGTCGCTTTAGCCCAGGAGTTTGAGACCAGTCTGGCAACATGGTGAAATCCTGTCTCTACAAAAAATACAAAAGTTAGCCGGGCATCGTAGGGCAAGATTGTAGTCCCAGCTCCTTGGAGGGTGGAGGTTGCAGTGAGCCATGTTTGGGCCACTGCACTCCAGCTTGGGCAACAGAGGGAAACTGTCTCAAAATTAAAAAAAAAAAAAAAGCTGTTGCTTAGCCCTAGGGTTGCCAGATTTAGCAAATGAAAATAGAGGACTCTCTGATACATTTCAATTTCAGATAGACAATGAATAATTGTTTAATATGCGTATGTCCCATTACTGCACAGGATAGGCTTATGTTAAACAATTACTTATGGTGTATCTGAAATTTAAGTATAGCTGGATGTCCTGTATTTTATCTGGCAACCCTACTTGGACTCTGCTCTCAGAGATTCTGATTCCATTGGTCTGGGATCTGGCCAGGCATAGGTGTTGTTCAGAAGCCTGTAGGCATTTCTTTTCTTTAAAAACAAAACAAAACAAAACAAAAAAACCAAAATACCTGCCTGGGAACGATGGCTCATGTCTGTAATCCCAGCACTTTGGAAGACCGAGGCGGGCAGATCACCTGAGGTCAGGAGTTCAAGACTGGCCTGGCCAACATGGAGAAACCCCGTCTCTACCAAAAGTAAAAAATAAAATAAAATAGAAAAACTAGCCGGGTGTGGTGGTGGGTGTCTGTAGTCCCAGCTACTGGGGAGGCTGAGACAGGAGAATCGCTTGAACCTGAGAAGCAGAGGTTACAGCAAGCCAAGATGGCACCACTGTACTCCAGCCTGGGCAAAAAAGCAAGACTCCATATCAAAAAATAATTTTAAAAAAACTTTTAAGAAAGGTTTTAGGTTTAGGGGTACATCAATTGCTCCTGACCCTGTGTAGGTTTGTTATGTAGGTAAACTTGTGTCACAGGATTTTGTTGTACAGATTTCATTACCCAGGTATTAAGCCCAGTACCCAGGAGTTGTTTTATCTCCTCCTCTCCTTCTTCCCAACCTCCACCCTCAAGTAGGCCCCAGCATCTATTGTTCCCTTTTTGTGTTCATGAGTTCTCATCATTTAGTTCCCACTTATAAGTGAGAACATGCAGTATTTGGTTTTCTGTTCCTGCATTAGTTTGCTAAGGATAATAGCCTCCAGCTCCATCCATATTCCTGTGGAAGAGGTGATCTCATTCTTTTTCATGGCTGCATAGTATTTCATGGTATATATGTCACACATTTTCTTTATCTAGTCTGCCGTTGATGGACATTTATGTTGATTCTATGTCTTTGCTATTGGCCCACAGGTATTTCAAATGTGTGATCAGGATCAGGAGCCACTGATGTAGGGTCGTCTACTCAGTTAGGGCTGTGGATGGAGAGTTGCAGACGGTTGGGGGCAGTGAACTGACATGATCTCACCTTTTAAAAGGATCCCATTGGCTGCTGTGTGGAGGGCAGAGAGGCAGGAGTGGACAAAGGCAGCTGGTTAGGAAGCTATTGCAATAGTCCCGGGCAGAAAGAGGCCTGTATTCATTGGGTACCTACTAGGGGTAGGCACAAGAGCGTATAATGGAAATAGAGGTTACTGGGCCCTCTGTTGGCCCTACCCCATTTAGAATTTCTCAGGGATGTGGGAGCCTAAGAATTTGTATTTTTAATATGCTCTCCTGGTGATTTTGATGATCAGTCAGGTTTGGAACAACTAAATTATTGAATTTAATTTTTGTGGAAGTTCTAGAAATCACCATGAATACTGCTTAGGGATCACTGTTCCTGTTACTGGCTCCGTGTGTCTTCCATACATACCTTATATCCTTCAACCCTATGCACTGTATGTGATTATTAGCCCTATTTCTCAGAGGAAGAAACTTAGGCCGAGAGTTTAAATAACTTGGCCAGGATCACTGAGCTAAAAGGTAGCAGAGTCAGGATTTGAACTGGGGTCTGGCTGATTCTGCTATTCTGCCCTTGATATTTATACCTATTTAGATGAGTGGTGGATAATGGATCCTCAATGGGAGAAGCCTGCTTTGCTATGTCCCACTGATATTTCTCCTCCTAGAACCAACGTGAGGCCTGGCCTGGCCTGGCCTGGGTGTTTGTTGAGTGGAACTGAATTCTAGGGGGGCTGTCACTGAAGGCAGCCCGTATCCTTTCCCATAGAGGATCCCTACGATGCTGTTGTGCTGAACTTCAGACTGAATGAACCAAAAGGCCATTTATGGTCATTTCTTTCCTTACCACACTCAGAAATAAACTGAGCCCTCCTGTGGAGGAACTGGACACTCCCTTAGGGGAAGGCCAGGGTGGAGGTTGCTTCAGACGATGTGTGGTTACCATGGATGTGACATTGCTGAGCAATCTGTTTGTGTTTCCAAGCCATCTTTGACCCAAATAACTGAATAACTATGTTAATTGGACCATCAACTGGAATTGGCAGAGCTAAGTGTGGGGGGTTTGGAGTCAAAGCCATTTGGGTTAATATTTCCCCTTACTGTTTTCTTTTCTTTTTTTTTGAGACTAAGTCTTGCTTTGTCACCCAGGCTGGAGCGCAGCGGCACGATCTCGGCTCACTGCAACCTCCACCTCCTGGGTTCAAATAATTCTCTTGCCTCAGCCTCCTGAGTAGCTAGGATTACAGGCATGTGCCACCACACACTGATTTTTGTACTTTTAATAGAGATGGGGTTTTGCCATGTTGGCCAGGCTGGCCTCCAACTCCTGACCTCAGGTGATCTGCTCTCGTTGGCCTCCCAAAGTGCTGAGATTACAGATGTGAGCCACCATGCCCAGTCACCCCTCACTGTTTTCATGTTAGGTAATAATTATGTAGTTTCCTGCCATATCACTTACACAGAGGCTTGAGTCATGACCTCTCCCTGTTTCTTATCTAAGAATGTTGCACTTGCCCCCGGTCTGATATTTTCTAATGTGTGAGACCTGTATCGCTGGTGGTACACGAGGTACCTCTAGTTGGTACCTGAACGTGCAGTAAATCACCTTGAATCACACGGTAAGAAAGCGATTCCCTTTAATCCTTATTCTGTTGGGATTGTTTGATGCTATTGAATCTTCAGAATGCTAACATTTGCTAATCTTTGGTGTTTTTTTTTTTTTTTGAGACGGAGTCTTGCTGTGTCACTCAGGCTGGAGTGCAGTGGCTTGATATCAGCTCACTGCAACCTCTGCCTCCTGGGCTCAAGCGATTCTCCTGCCTCAACCTCCTGAGTAGCTAGGACTACAGGCACATGCCACCGCGCTTGCCTAATTTTTGTATTTTTAGTAGAGATGGGGTTTCATCATGTTGGTCAGGCTGGTCTTGAACTCCTGACCTCATGATCCACCTACTTTGGCTTCCCAAAGTGCTGGGATTACAGGCGTGAGCTACCACACCAGGCCTAATCTTTGTTTTTTAATGTAGGAAAATAGGTTTCAGCCCAAAGCCTAGCTTTAGATAGGATTTAATTATGTTGTTTATTTATTTAGTAAACTTTTTATTTTGGAAGGATTTTAGATTGACAGAAAAGTTGCAAAGAGAGTTACAGAGTTCTTATGTAAGAACCATATACCTTTCATCCTGTTTTTCCCCAGCGTTAACATCTTATATAAACAAATGGTACATTTGTCAAGACAAAGAAACCGGTATTGGATATTGGTACTTACTGTTAACTGAAGTATGGAATTTATCCGTTTTCCATTAATGTCCTTTTACTGTCCCAGAATCCAATCTAGGACACCACATTGCATTCAGCATTATTTATTTATTTATTGAGACAGGGTCTTGCTCTGTTGCCCAGGGTGGAATGCAGTGGCACGATCACAGCTCACTGCAGCCTCAACTTCCTGGGCTCAAACCATCCTCCTGCCTCAGCCTCCTGAGTAGCTGGGACTACAGGTGCACACCACCACACTAGCTTATTTTTATATTTTTTGTAGAGACAGAGTCTCCCTATGTTGCCAAGGCTTGTCTCAAACTTCTGGACTTTAAGTGATCCTCCCATCTCATCCTCCCAAAGTGTTGGGATTACAGGTGTGAGCCATCCTGCCCGGCCAGCATAATTTAATTAAGGAATGCTGGGGGCAGGCAGGGAGAAGTCAGGCCCAATATTAAGAAGAAGCCAGGTCCAGGAGGCCTTACTAAGAAGGGTGTGATTTACCTTGAGGGCAAGGAAGAACCACCAAATAGTTTCAAACAAGGCTGAAATTTGTTCTTTTCCGAAGGCCCCTTTCTGGCTGCAGTGTAGAGAGTGAATTTACTGAAGGGCAAAGCTGGAGGCAGTAGTGATCAACAGGGCTAGATGAAGGCTTTCTCTCCAGGGCAATTCACAAAGCTCTGAAACCCTCAGTGCAGCAAATGTGGACAGAGCAGGTATCTCAGCATAAGACTGAACAGACACCAGAGTCTCAGACCAAGCTCTTAGACGCTATGGTATTATTATATTGAGTATGACTTTTTAAAAGCTATGATGTATGTACAGAAAAAGCACGTAGAAGATGTATGCATGGTTTACGAATAATTATAAAGTAAACACTCACCTGTGTAACTACCACCTAAGTCAAAAAATGGAATAGGCCAGGCAGTAGCTCACGCCTGTAATCCCATCACTTTGGGGGGCTGAGGCAGGAGGATCCCTTCAGCCCAGGAGTTCAAGACCAACCTGGACAACACAGGACACAGCAAGATCTTAAAAAAAAAAAAAAAAAAAAAAATTAGTTGGGTGTGGTGGCGCACGCCTCTAGTCCCAGCTACTTGGGAGGCTGAGGCAGGAAGATCGCTTGAGACTGGGATTTCAGGGATGCAGTGAGCTATGATCGCACCACTGCAGTCCAGCCTGGGTGACAAAGCAATACCCTGTCTCAAAGAAAAAAAAATAGAACATTACCAACATTACCAGCATCCCAGAAGTCTCTCCCTAGTCAGAACCTGCTTCTCCTCCAGAAATACTCTAACGTTGTTATTCAGGTTTCCTTCAATTTTTTTACTTTAGTAAATATGGGTAGATCTTGTTTCCCCAAGTTGCGTGATGGTGATGGGGGTGAGAGTGGTCAGGAGTGTCCCTTAAATTGTACACCTTGCCAGGCAACTGACAGGCTGATGGGGTAGGAGGGTGCCCACTCTGTGTTGAGAACCGTGCCAGGTGTGGTACATGTCAGCTAACTGAATTCCTATAAAATCTGTATCAGGCAGGCCTGATGAGCCTCCATTTCTAAATTCAGGGAAAGCACATACCATACCCAAGGTCACAGACAGCGTAAACAGTAGACGTTGGGTTTTTGTTGTTGTTGTTGTTGTTTGTTTTTGTTTTGTTTATTTTTGAGACATAGTCTCACTCTGTCAGTTAACCTGGAGTGTACTGGCACGATCTTGATTCACTGCAAGCATAGCCTCCTGGGTTCCAGCTCTTCTCCTGCCTCAGCCTCCCAAGTAACTGGGATTACAGGCATCTGCCATCATGCCTCACTAATTTTTTTGTGTGTATTTTTCACAGAGAGGGGGTTTTGCCATGTTGACCAGGCTGGTCTCGAACTCCTGACCTCAAGTGATCCGCCTGCCTCGACCTCCCGAAGTGTTGGGATTATAGGTGTGAGCCACTGTGCCTGGCCCTAGAAGTTGGTTTTGACCCCAGGTCTGTCTTGACCAAGGTCCCTGTTCTTTCCTTGGCTTGTTCTGATGGGGGTAGGGGAAAGTGAGGAAGGATGGGAATGATTCGGGGTGGCAGGGGGATGGTAGGTACGGGGGCTAAGAGGGGGATCTATAGCCAGACTGGTCTGCCTGGCTCCACATCCCAGCCCTGCCTCTCGGGCACATTGCCGACCTTCTCTGACCTTCTCTATGCCTCAGTTTCCTCCCTGAATAGGAGTTTTGTGTTGATTGTATGAGAAGAGAAGATGTGTAAAACGCCCAGCACAACGAATCATCACACTTACCTCATGGGGTTGTTGTGAAGAGTACGAGAGTTAAGTTTAGTTCAGGGAACTTTTAGAACAGAACCTGCAGGCAGGAAGCGCTCATGAGCATCGACCACGAATATTGTTCTTTTTCCCTTCCCTCTCCTTCATGGGTGTGCACTGAGCTGCGGTTGCTTTGAAATTGCTGCATCTACAGTGACTTTGCAGATGGTTTTCTTCTGCAGACTGACCCCAGTGATACGCTCTTGCTGGGTGTCTGGAGAACTACAGCTTGTTTCCTCTGGGAATCATGAGACCAGTGGAGTGGAGGCTAGCTAGTCTCCTCTAACAGTGGCTGGCCTGAGCTCCACACCATATTTCCTGTCAGACCCCACTTGTAGGCAGAGCTAACATGGGCACTGCCCTCCTGGGCCTGATGTCAGGGAAACCTCCCCACAAAGTCAGGCTGGCTCTTAGAAGGGTGGGGACATGTAGTAGGAGGGCTCCCGACCACCTGACCTGTGGCGTTGCTTCTTGCCTGGCATTTTGGAGGGGCTGAGGCCCATGGTGGGATTTTTCAGCAGCCGGGGTCCTGGACAGCTCCTGCATTCATCCAGGGATATTGGTTGCAAGCAATAGAAACTGATTCAGGCTATCTGAAGAAAAGTTAACTGTAGAGAAGGAAACTGAGGCTTCACTGAATCAACCAGAGGGGAAGCACCAGATGTGGGGATGATCTGGTTTGCTGCAGCCACATTCAAAAGCTCATTTCTCCTTGGATCACTGGCTCTAGCTTGGAGGTTCTGGAAAAGAGCATCTTATTGGAATAACGTGGATCAGGGGTTAATAACATGGGAACCAGGCTGCAGAGCAGGAGGTGAGCAGGAGGCAAGTGAGTGAAGCTTCATCTGTATTTACAATCGCTCCCCATTGCTTGAATTACCACCAGAGCTCTGCCTCCTGTCAGATCAGTGACCACATTAGATTCTCATGGGAGCATGAACCCCACTGTGAACTGCGCATGTGCGGGATCTTGGTTGCACGCTCCTTATGAGAATCTAATGCCTGATGATCTGTCACTGTCTCCCATCACCCCCAGATGGGACCTTCTGGTTGCAGGAAAACAAGCTTAAGGCTCCCACTGATTCTACATGATGGTGAGTTGTAAAATTATTTCATTATATACTATAATGTAATAATAATAGAAATAAAGTGTACAATAAATGTAATATGCTTGAATCATCCCTAAACCAACTCCCCATCCTGCCCCCACTTCCCTCTGTCCATGGAAAAACTGTCTTCCATGAAACTGGATCCTGGTGCCAAAAAGGTTGGGGACTGCTGATTTAGATCATGTCACGACCGCAGGTGAAACAGGGTGGTGAGTTGCAGGAGGATCAGGGCCCCACTTTGTGTAGTAGTTGCTGGTGGAACTCTCCCTTCAACAAGATTAAGCACAGGGTGGTTTCCTTAGAAAGAGAAATCAGGGGTGGCTGAATCAATTCAAGAGTTGAAGGAAAGAAGAGAAGACAAATGTCCACTGTAGTCCTGTCTTCCTTGAGCAAACAGGCTCTTACAGTGGGTACCTCAGTGTCCTGAAAGAGAGGCTGGCCTGCTTCTCACTGCAGATAGGCTGCTGAGAGAAACCGTGGAGAGTGGAAAGTGCAGAAGTAGCCCTGGAGTCAAACAGTCGGGTAAAATTCTAGGACCTCACTCACTGCAACCTCCACCTCCCGAGTTCAAGAAATTCTCCTGCCTCAGCCTCCCGAATAGCTGGGACTACAGGCATGTGCCACCTTGCCCAGCTAACTTTTGTATTTTTAGTAGAGACAGGTTTTCACCATGTTGGCCAGGATGGTCTTGATCTCTTGACCTCACTCTCCATCTGCCTTGGCCTCCCAAAGTGCTGGGATTACAGGTGTGAGCCTCTGTGCCCAGCCATAATTCAGCAATAGGCTTCCTGCCTGACTGCACATCCAGGCGGAGGTATGGACTAAGGATCATTCAGGAACTTTGGGCTCTGATTCTTATTCCTTCTACAAGGTATTGGGCATTTTTGGGGGTAATCACAGGGCTTCTCTGAGCATTGATTTTTTTCATCCACAAAATGGGAAAAGGAAGTATGACCTAGTTTTGGGAGTCAACCAGACTTGATTTTGAGGCTGACACTGCTACTTACCTGCTATAAACTCTGGGAAAGTGACTTAGCTGAATTCGAAGTAGCCCGGTTTGATGGGCACTGTGCAAGCACAGGCACAGAAGAGGTGCTGTATTGGCTTCCTAAGGTGCCACTGACTGCTTAACTGAAATGTCTGGTCTCACACCGTTCTGGAGCCTAGGAGTGCAAGGTCAGGGTGTCATCAGGGTTGGTTCCTGCTGAGGGCTGAGACACAATCTGTTTTGGGCCTCTCTCCTTGCTTCTAGTGTTTTCCTGGCAATCTTTGTCATCCTCGGACCGGTAGATGCACCACCCCGATCCCTGCCTCTATCAGGGCCTTTTCCCTGCGTCTTCACACCGTCTTTTCTCTATACATGTATGTCTGTGTCCAAATGTCCTTTCTTTGTAAAGACACCAGTTATAGTGGATTAGCACCCATCCTAATGACCTTATTTTAACCCAGTTATTTCTGTAAAAACCTGTTTCCAAAGAAAGTCACACCCTGGGTGTTAGGACTCTAACATATCATTTTTGGGGAAACACAATTCCACACATAACGGGCTCAGCATCTGTTAAAATTTCCCTACCTCATTAAATAGGATTGCATAGCCTGCTCAGTACCTGGCACAGAGCAGAACCTCAAGAAATATTTGTTGAAGAAATGAATGGATGGATTCTAGATTTCATGGTGTGGGTTTTTTGTTGTTGTTTGTTTGTTTGTTTGTCTGAGACTGAGTCTTGCTCTGCCACTCAGGCTGGAGTGTAGTGGCACGATCTCAGCTCACTGTAACCTCCGCCTCCTTGGCCCAAGCAATTCTCCTGCTTCAGCTTCCCAAGTAGCTCATATTATAGGTGCATGCCACCATGTCTGGCTAATTTTTGTATTTTTAGTAGAGACAGGGTTTCACCATATTGGCCAGGCTGGTCTTGAACTTTTGACCTCAAGTGATCCGCCTACCTCAGCCTCCCAAAGTCCTGGCTTTACAGAAGTGTCACTGTGCCCGGCCTCCATGATGTTTTGAATTCTCTAGAGAGAGAATTCTTCCAGAATTTTGAATTCTCCCAGAGATACACCCTCCCCTACTTTAAAAATGTGATTTCAAGATATTCTAACAAAAATATAAAGTTCTTGAGAACACCTCCAGACACATTCAAGAGCCTGGATCTGACTTCTCCTTTTAATGTGCAAGGAATTGAGGGAAAGTTCTTTCTTCCTAGAATGGCTCTGCTTTGCCACAGATGAAGAATTAATTATTTTAGGAAAGCTTGAAAAACTTCCTCCAGTCATTTGAAAACGGGTTCTAACAATGAACAGGAGTCCCCAGCAATAAATCAGGTGAGGCAAGGAAGTGGCTCTGGGCAGTGGGACAGGTAGACTCCCACAACCCTCTGTCCCATGCACCCACTAAATCAGGAAGCTGGCACTGAATGGGAGGATGCCAGCTCTTCTTAATTCTTCAGTCTTAGGGGCAGGAGACCCACATACCTTGATTACTTATGATGTGCTGGAATGTTCTGTCTGGTACAGGAAAGCTACTCAAAGCCCAAACTCTGGAGTTAAACTCCTGCAGTCTACTCATGGCCCCACCACCATCGCACTGTGTGACCTCAGGCATGTTTCTTCACCTCTCTGTGCCTCAAAGTCCTCACTGATAATTTGCGAACAACAGTAGTACCTCCTTCAGAGCATATGTGATGATATATGTAATACACTATGCAGGGTGCATTTACGTAATGTCAGCAATTGTTATCATCATATTATTGAGGATGCTGCTGGTACTGAGGTTGATAATGGAAAAGGTGAATTCTAGTGCCCAGGTTTATTAAATGTCTGTTCTCATCATTCCCGTTAGGGCTTTCTAGAACTCAACCCCATCTCTCTGTCTCTTCCTGTCTTTCCCTCTGTAGTGCTCAACTGTGGATTATTTCACTGATTGCCCAGCAAGCCTAGGAGGTATGCATCATAACCTTGGTTTCGTGGGTAAGAACCTGAGACATAGTGACTCGTGAGTGGAGAACTGGAATTCAAGCCAGGTATGTCTGCCTCTAAGGCTGCTGCATAGGGAGATGGGCCTCCTGGGAATGAAATTTGGCCTTTCCCTATAATTTCTCTTCATCACTAGGACTTCCCACTAGGTTGTAGGCTCAGATTGGCCTGCCCTGAACAACGCTTCTCATTTGACTGGCTGCCCCCTGCTGGTTGTCAAGCTGAACAGGCCCCAAGAAACCCATTTACCCAAGGAGGTCAGAGGTGGCGGATAAAAGCAGTCCCTTAGACTCTGGATGCTCACCCAGCAGCATCCTGAATCCTCATGGAGGCCCTGGGAGGAGTGTGTCCCCCACCTGCCACTTTGCAAGTGGCAAACTAAGGCTCAGAGAAGCTGGGATTACAGGTGCTGCCACCATGCCAGGTTAATTTTTTTTGTGTTTTTAGTAGAGACAGGGTTTCACCATGTGGCCAGGCTGGCCTCAAACTCCTTACCTCAGGTGATCCACCCACCTTAGCCTCCCAGAGTGTTGGGATTATAGGCATGAGCCACCACCCCTAGCCTATCATTCTCTTTTTTTCTCTTTAGCATGGATGACGGATTCTAAAATTCTCTGGCCTCTCTGAGCAGCTGACTGCTAGAATTCGGAGGCTCCTGAAATTAGTTTCCTATTCTCTGTGCACCTCTCAAAAATCCTCAAGTGCTGACTAGATTCCCACTTATTTTGGAGTTGCACACAAAGGAAGCAGCATCATGAGGCAGAAGGAGCCCTGGGTTCATTCTCAAGGGAGCTCTGGCATTGACTGAATGTGCAACCTCATGCAGGCGAATTCACCTCTCTGATCCTCAATGTCCTCCTCTGCAAGAGAAGGACAATACTGGCCTGTATTTCATAAGGTTTTTGTGAAGATTAACTAGATAGTGCATGTAAAGCAGTTAATGCAGTACTTGGCACAGAGTAAGTATTGGATAAACAAGTACCCACCATTATTATGGTAGAAATGGTGCCATTAGCAACTGAACCCTTAGGGGAAGTTTTGATCTTGGTGAAGGGGCAGAGAAATATTACAGATCGAATAGGAGTGGAGGAGTGAGTGGGAGGGAATGTTCCTTGCCTATCCCACTGGCAGCCATCCCAAACTGACATGCCCAGGGCCAGCTCAGGCAGTGACCCTCCTCCTCTTGGGAGACAGGGTGTTCTTCAGGCCCACTTGGTCTGGCTTAAAGGCGTGGGTCTGTGCATGCCCCCACACTCATACACTCTCAGCTGCAGTTGTCATTAGAGCCAATGGCATGGGTGTCAGAGTTGCCCTGAGACACCAGCACTCCTGTGAGGTTTCAAGTCTGTTTCCCATTTATGGGGCCTTTGGAAGGAAATTGTGTGTGGCCTCCCAGCCTCTGCTCACCTGCACTCCTATATAAGCCCCTGTCTGAGGCTGCCCCGGCAACCATGGAAAGTCATTTCCTCCAGCGGATGCCTCCCCTGTGTTAAGAAGCAGACACGGTAGAGAGAAGGCACAGAAAACCTTGTAACTCGTCGGGTGAGGTGGGAAAGGTGGGGTTATTGGTGAGGACCGTTGCATTTATGGGGCCTCTTATCTTTATGACAAAAGGTCAAATGGGACTTGGGATGCAATAACAAAGAAAGTAACATCCATAAAGATCTTGTTCTAACGTGTGGGACTATGAAATAGATGGGTAGCCCGACTCGCTGTATGTGGTTTGCAGTTCTGGTAATCCTGAGATTTGCTGCTAAGTCAGGGCCTGGTGGCGCTGAGTGGGGAAGTAAAGATGCTGGGAGCTATTCCCAAACCCTGCCCTTTCCACCCCTCCCCAACTCTACCAGCTAAATGTGGTACTCCCCCTGCAGCTTCAGAAACACCATCCCGTCACATACATGTTGTCTCTTCAACACTAGGGTGGACTCAGTGGGAGACCCAAACAACCAGGATATTTGCCGAGGCTGGAATGGGCACGAGATGCTCAGAGGAAGCGGAGTGGGCCCTCCTCGTGGACTCCAAGCTCCCAGGAGGGAAAACGTGAAACAACTGGAAATGTGAACCAACTGCTGCCCCAAACACACACACACACACACACACACACACACACACACACACACCCCCAAAGGAAAACAAGAAAATAAACCAGCTACATAAATTGCAAAAAAATGGAATTCCAGTTCTATTCTACAATAGCATCAATACTGCAATACTTTCATCAAGTTGTATAACAAAAAACCAGGAACATTGGAATAGGAGGAACGGGCGCTCCCACCATCTAGTCGTGTTCAAGTAGTTTGTGTCTCCGCCCCTACCCCCAACAGTTTAGCTATGCTATCACAAGGGCAGGGGCAAGCCTGCCATCCAAGCATGTAACTCTTGACCCAGGATGGCCATCTTGGCTTTGGCTTGCAAGCCCCCTGGCATGTGACTTCCCAAAGGAGCCAGTCTTAGTCTGTCATCCCTTACCCTGTTCATTGTGGAAGTCAGGCGGCCCAAGAGCAGAAAGGGCTGCAGGGGCAGCCTCATCAGAGGGGGCTCAGGCAATGGAAGAGATGTGGCTGTGTTTCTGCTCTCTGCAGAAGAGAGTCCTGGAGGAGGGCTGGCAGCTGCCCCGGGTGCTGGGGAGACAGCAGAAGAGGGTGGACATCAGCAGGGCCAGGGCAATGATGAAGGTGAGCACCCACCGTAAGACACCAGGGTAGACGAAGGGCCCGATGAGGATGATGAGCAAAGCCAGCAGGAGTAGGTGTGCGGCCAGGCGCCGAGCTGCCACGTGGTTGGCACTTAGTTCATCCTGCTCATCCTCTCCCACCAAGCTGGGGTGCCCTGCTGCCAAGGTGGCAGGATCCGTCAGCTCCTGAGGACAGAGCGGTACCTCTGTGCATGGCTGGGCCAGCCGCCCCACCACCGCCTCGTGGTCGCGCAGGCTGCAGATGAGGCCCCCAGGGATGGCGGTAACCTTGCGGCACAGCGGGCAGGTGATGGACCAGGTGTTGTCCTGCACACACAGCAGGAGCTTCAGGCAGATGGCGCAGAAGGCATGCTGGCAGGCCAGCAGCTTGGGGGACCGAGCACAGCTGTAGGGCTCCCGACACACCAGACACTCCAGGTCACATTCTATGGAGCCATTATGATCCACAGTGGGGCCAACAGCGGTGGTTGTTGTGGTGGCTCCTGCGGAGATGGGCTGGGGCTGCTGTAGGGTCTTGGTGCAGGCCATTGTGGGCACAGAGGCTGGGGGACGCTGTCTCTCAGCACCTGGGCATCGGCAGAGAGTGTTTCACTCTGGCCAGGTGCCTGCTGACAACAGCTGTCTGGCACTCCTCTCTCCCAGAGCTGCCCAGCTCGTTTCTTGGCTTACGTTGTCCCTTCAGTTATTGTTATTTATTTTCTCAAAACCTAGGGTTAATCAGTAACTTGCGGGTCTAGAAACTTTGATTGACTGATAGGAGGGCAAAGGGGGTGGGGCCTAGTGATCAGGACTTTCCTATTGGGGCTGGGTGCCTGGTGGTTGCCCACAGGACGGTGGCTCCAGCTTTGGGATGTATCAGAATCCAACTCTCTCACCCCCATGTCCCTGGTCCCTGAACCTTTTATTTATTTTTGTTATTTAACTTTTCTTTTTTTTTCTGAGACGGAGTCTCGTTCTGTCACCCAGGCAGGAGTGCAGTGGTGCGATCTTGGCTCACTGGCATCTACAAACCTGCACAGTTAATAGCCCTGTGAGTCGGACCTAGGTGGACTGGGGTAATCTCACTTTCTCAGACACAACCTTTTGGATGTCAGGGTGAACGGGAAAAAGTTTGTTTGCACTTGGAGCACATTTACAGCAGGTGGCCTTGTGAAGAAGACAGGAGTGGTGAGAACCGTGAGTGGAAGGGGGACAAAGCCCAGCCCAACAGAAAAACAAAACCACAAACAGCCCACAGGTGTTCAGCACCTGCTACTGTCTTCCTTTCTTTAGAGTAACAGCAGTTGTATTCACGGTTACAGTTGTATGAGCCTCCCATCTGGCCTGGCTATGTGCGTCACACACCTGATCACAGGTATCCTGTTGTGTGCTGGGCATGTGGACTATCCAGTAGTATTAAGAACAGCTGTCATTTACTTGGGCCTACCCTAAGCCAAGCCCTGTGCCAGGGGGTCCAGCCCCCATTTCCCAGAACCCTGACACAGCCCCATAGGGAAGGGCAGGAAGCAACGGCAGGGTGTGGTCAGGATAGACTGCTGGCTGGCTGCCAAGGGGCCCTCCATGGGGCAGGACCTTGTGGAATCTACCAGCGTCCAAGGTCTGGTTGAATCAATCTCATCAGTTGGTTTAGATGCAACTGGCCTCAGCCAGGTGACGTAGGCTAACAAGACTCGTGTGAGACCGGCAGATATTTGCAGCACAGCAGTTAGGAAAACGTGACTCCCTTACCTTGCCCTGAAGGGCAGAGGGTGGGGTGGCCTGTCCACTCCCTCAAACAAATGTCTCATTCAGGTCACTCTGAACCCAGAAGCCCATGTGAAGGATCCTTTGGTGCTCATGTCACCTGTCGAGGACCACACAGAGTCCTGTGACTCTGATTCAGCTCTTTCCCTTACCCCAGCAGCTGGCACTACAGGCCACCCTCTGTGACCTGGAGTCACCAGCCCCACAGAGGCTCCCCCTGGGTCCTCTGTCCCTGAAATCCACATCTCTCACCATCCCACCCCATTTCTTCTCGACCTGTAGCCAGACCACCAGTTATCTCTGTGAAAGGAAAATAAACCTTGGGGTCCCCAAATCACTAAGCCAAAGGGTAAAGTCACGCTGGGAACTGCTTAGGGTCAACCTGCCTCCCATCTATTCCAAGCCATCTCTCTGATCCCTGAGACAAAGGCTTCTGTGATTGCCTCCTTTGGAGACGCTAATCAGAAACTCAGAAGAATGCAACCGTTCTTATCTACCTACGACCTGGAAGCCCCCTCCCCACTTCAAGTCTTCCTGCCTTTGCTTCAAGTTGTCCCACGTTTCCAGATGGACAACTTGAACCCAATGTTCACTTTACATATGTTGATTGACGTCTCAGGTCTCTCTAAAATGTATAAAACCAAGCTGTAGCCCGACGTGATGGTTCACTCCCATAGTCCCAGCACTTTGGGAGTACGGGGGGTGGGGGGTGGATCACAAGGTCAGGAGTTCGAGACCAGCCTGGCCAAGATGGTGAAACCCCATCTCTACTAAAAATACAAAAATTAGCCAGGCGCAGTGGCATATGCCTGTAATCCCAGCTACTCAGGAGGCTGAGGCAGGAGAATCGCTTGAACCTGGGACGTGGAGGTTGTAGTGCGCCGAGATCATGCTTTTGCACTCCAGCCTGAGTGACAGAGTGAGACTCTCTCTCATAAAATAAAAAATAAATAAATAAAACAAACAAAAAAACCAAGCTGTGCTCTGTCCACCTTGGGCACATATCGGGACCTCCTGAGGCCGACACTCGATCTCGGCAAAATAAACTTTCTGAATTAACTGAGACCTGTCTCAGATATTAAGGGTTCACATCTCTATCACGTTTTCCCCCAGATCAACCTGAAAGGACCTTGGATGTAGTCCTGGGAATCTGTTTTTTTCCCCATGCCTCGCATTCTTTCCACTTTTTTCAGTTACGGTTTTCTCTTTCATGTTGGGCAACCACTGCTTCCCACTGTCATTCCGTGTGTGCATGGTTAGGGTGATCTCTGGCTCCAGCTCTTTGGAAGTGGGCCACTGGTGCGATTCAGGGTGGGCCAATCAGCGTGCTCTGCTCTGCAGGCTGCAGTCATTGGTTTAGGCATAGGCATGTCATCTAAGCCACGCCCATGATATTCAATTCTGGAACTTCTGTTGGAACTCTTGAGAAGTTTCTCTCCTGGGTTTCCAAGTTAGAGGATGAAACCCTGGGGCTGCCAGGACCACAGCGTGCAGAGAACCTGCTCAAGAGTAAGGTCAGCACAAAAGAAAAATGAGGCAAGAATCAAAGGCCTGATTACATTATTTGAACACCTAGATCCAGCCACGCCTGAAGTTGGCACCTAGCATTGGATTTTTCACAGATACTAACCTATAAAATCTATCCTGATTTTTATTCTTAAGTCAGTTTAAATTAAACTCTTGCAAGTGAAAACTTCTAAGTATCACAGCAATGGATGAAGAAAAGAAGCCTTTGCTTGCTCTCTGACAAAGGGTCAGGCTTTGATGAGACAGCCAGACTTTGTACATGGCCAGGAGTGACCTAACCCCTTTGTTTTAGGATGCTAGAAGAGATTCTATGTTTTGACTTGCATTGCATAATGTTCTTTTCTGTTTGTGAGACTCTAGGATGGATTAGGGATGGGAGGAGAAAAATGTGTTGAGCCACTTTCATTTATAATAAGAATAGAAAATCAGGTGGGCCACACAGTGATGTTAGCTTGGCCAATGCCCCTCTCTAATTTTTTTTTCTTTCTTTCTTTCTTTTTTTTTTTTTTTTTGAGATAGAGTCTTGCTCTGTCTTGCCCAGGCTAGAGTGCAGTGGTGCCATCTTGGCTCACTGCAACCTCCATCTCCCAAGTTCAGGTGATTCCATCTCCCAAGCTCAGCCTCCTGAGTAGCTGGGACTACAGGCATGCACCACCACACCCGGCTAATTTTGTACTTTTAGTAGAGACAGGGTTTCACCGTGTTGGCCATGCTGGTCTCAAACTCCTGACCTCAGGTGATCCACCTGCCTCGGCCTCTCAAAGTGCTGGGATTACAGGCATGAGCCACTGTACCCGGCCAGCCAGTGCCCCGCTCTCTAGCCAGCTTAATGGGAAATCAAATTGTCAGAAAGTAGCTGAGTGAGGTTGAAATCAGACCAAGGGAAGTTATTTGGGGTTAGAGTTTGCAAGATAACCTTTGACATCATTGGGTAACCACCATTAAGAAAACATATTGGCTGCAACAATGCAAGCATTTCAGAAATAGATAAAGTAGAATGTGAAAGTTCCTTTTGCTACAGCCCCTGAGAAATGACCACTGTTAACAGAGCATTCCTTCCTGTTGTCCTCCTCCTACCATCTTGGCTTAAAAATAACTTTGTTTATTTAAAGTGCCTTGCCTAGGCGGGGCACGGTGGCTCACACCTGTAATCCCAACACTTTGGAAGGCTGAGGCAGGCGGATCATGAGGTTAAGAGATCGAGACCAACCTGGCCAACATGGTGAAACCCCGTCTCTACTAAAAATACAAAAATTAGCTGGGCGAGGTGGCGTGTGCCTGTAATCCCAGCTACTCATGAGGCCGAGGCAAGAGAATCACTTGAACCCGAGAGGCAAAGGTTGCAGTGAGCCAAGATCGCGTCACTGCACTCCAGCCTGGTGACAGAGTGAGACTCAATCTTGAGGAAAAAAAAAAAAAAAAGAAAGAAAAGTGCCTTGCCTTAACTATCATCAGCACTGACTCTAGCTGGAAATCTGGCTCCTGTCACTTTACCAGCTGTGTGAATTTGGGCAAGAATTTCAACCTCACTGAAGCTCAGTTTTAAAATTGGACAAAATAGAGGCTGGACGCAGTGGCTCACGCCTGTAATCCCAGCACTTTGGGAAGCACAGGCGGGTGGATTGCTTGAGCTCAGGAGTTTGAGACTGGCCTGGGCAACAAGGCGCAACCCTGTCTCTACTAAAAATACCAAAAATAGCTGGCGTGGTGGCGTATACCTGTAATCCCAGCTACTCAGGAGGCTGAGACAGGAGGATCGCTTGAGCCCAGGAGGTGACAGTTGCAGTGAGCCAAGATCATGCCACTGCACTCCAGCCTGGATGAGAGAGTGATACCCTGTATTAAAAAAAAAAAAAGTAAAATAAAATAAAATAAAATGGTGACATTAACACTTGAGGAAATTGTGGAAGATTATTTAAACCCTCCACCTCTGACTACAACCTGCTCATGAGAGGCTTAGTAATTTATGTACTTCGGGTTGTAACTAACCTGGGTGAAATTAATCTCTTCCAGGGACATGAGATAAGACACTTCGGTGATCTGTTTCACCTGCGCTTCTTCAAGAGGAGTGAATATGGGCAGAGTGTGAGGTGTAGCCTGAAGCAGATCTATCCCAGGGGAAGTAAAAAGTGTCTCTGGAGACTTAAAATTCATCTAGGTTTCACATTCTTCTCCATTGCTATATTTGTGTTACCACAACATTAGAAGCATACATGAATCCTTCCAAATCTCCAAATAAAACATATTTTTTAATTGCTGTACAAACATGACCCCATTAATCTTCATTTTTTTTTTTTCATTTGAAATTCAGTTT